CATTGCCATCATCAATATCTTCCTCTTCCTCTTCCCCTTCATCTTCATCTTCATCACCCTCCTCATCATCTTCATCAGACAGCTCATACTCTTCTATCACTACCACATCATCACTGCCATCTTCATCATCATCATCATCATCACTGTTGTCTTCATCATCATCATCCACAACCTCTGGATTTCCTTCTTTGAGAGAGTCAGCCATTTCTTTATCATGGCCTGCATTATTCCCATCTTTTTTAGGTTCTTTGCCTTCAGTACTAGGGTTGATATAAACTTCAGACTTGTCAAGAGGAACCACTGCAATCTTTTCGCCAGCATCATCTGTGATGAAGGACAATGGTGCACTCTCTACATAGGCTGGATACACTGAACCTGTCAGTGATAAAACACATCGAGACAGTAAAACAAGTGTAAAGCTACTTCCCCAAATCGAACACATTCTATATTTCATCTTCTTTTTCTTTGTACCATACCTCTTGAGTTCAGAGTATTAATTTTTTTTTTATTACCTTTAAATGATTTATCAAATAGGACCATTAACTCTTCTCCCACAGCTATATCCTTAACAGCTTCAAAGCAGACTCCTCCTGGAGAGTTATATGCTACAATGTTTTGTTTTGCTGTTGATGTAGCACTCTGGAGACGACTGAGCCAACTGCATTTGTCCTTCTCATTCTTGTGTGCATAGAAAAAGTGCATCAAGTTTCTTTTGTTTTTATCTTTGATCTAAAAATGCAACAGAACATCATATGGTATCACATACATGTAATGATCTACACAAGTCTCAAACCTAGAGTTATTTACCCTCTAACTCCCAATATCTGATTGTTGAATCTCCCATCTAGCTGCGACATATTTCCTTTGTAAATTAGTTACAAGAATTTGGTGTTAAATCAAGATAACAACTTCTAACCTAATAAATTTGAGTATTCTCATTACCTGTTGGCTGATAATGCAAAGATTTAATTGGGAGAAGTCACATGTTTATCACTTCAAGGAGTTTAAGAGTTCACACTTGTAATGCAATAAAGTGATACTTGAATAATGACTAGTTATTTATATCAAATTATTTTAACAGCATGTTGAGAATAGGATGCATTTGTGCACAATGGTCAACAGATTTCAGTGATTACAATCTTAAAATTCTTGTAAGAAGCCATCCTCCTGAAAAGTTTGGGTGACTTGACAAAACTGCATCAGTTGTTTATTACCTCTGATCATACCTGTGACACAAAAAAGTACAATTTCTCTGGAGATTTCCTCTTGTCCACAATTTTACCAATGAATGGGCCAAAACGTCTTCCTTCAGGTATCTGCATATGGGCTAATATTCCAGCTCTGCGTAATTCAGGAGGGAGATGGGAATCCTCCTCTTGCACCTTACGAGGCCTACCTGTAAAATTCCAACAAACTACTTTACAAAGAGGAAGAACTTTTCTTGTGTGTATCCGACCCTTTTTAAACTTCCATTTATCAAAGCTCTATTTGTTACAATGTAGCTATAGTGTGAAACAAATTACTACCAAATCATGAAGTGAAACAATATACATGTATCACTGTTTGGATTCACAAAAACTACATATTTTTTACATAAAGTGCAGTTGTTTCTCTAATGATACATTCATTTTGGATGTGGATCACAATGTTTCAATTACATACTGCATATTATAAAATAATTCAAAGTACGTGTGCTCTGATTGACCACAAAACCATTTTACACGAGCGTATGTAAACATGGTTTTCATACTGAATCTTCTCGCGGAGTTCTCCCTGCTATTTATTTAGCAGTAACTCAGTTTCTTTAAGTTCATTTTGAGTACAGTAATGGAAGAAGAAGATTTTCCTAATTTTTCTTTGGAGTTTGATTTTCCCAGTATTCAAGAAACGGCCGAAAAGCCAAATGAACAACAACAACAACCACGTCGCTTTCCTTTGTTGCAAGAAGAGGTTCTTTCATTAGTTATTTTATAAAAGAAATGTAAAATGGTTTCCATGTTTACATAGCCTGATGTAAACACTTGGTAGGTTGGGAGAACACTCAATAAGCTGGAAACCACTTCGCTTCACATCGTGGTTTCCTACGCTTATCTCGTGTTCTCCCAACCTACCGCGTGTTTACATCAGGCTATGTAAACACGGAAACCATTTTACATTTCTTCAATATCACTCAAAAGAGTTGTACTCTATTTCTGAAAATACAATTCTCATTGCTATTTTCTGATTTTAATAACCAGTCTACTCAACAGAGTTGAAAAAATGTTTAAGTTAGGAGAATTTGTATTGCAATCACTTCAAAAGGCTAGCTATGGACAATTCATTGATGCATTAAATTTCTATCATTTGATCATTCATCTAAATAGTTATCTGAGTGTATAATCTTGTTCTCATTCAATTGTTCCCTTGTTTCATTGTTCCTTTGAAAACAAACATGAATGCATCAAGACCTCAGGTGTACCTACAGTGCAATCTGTTGGCATGTTTTGCTTCAAAATTTTCTATGCCTTAAAATAGTTTAAACCAGTTTCATTTCCCCCGTCTTTTCCAGATCATCGCAATAAATACAGGAGCAATTATATCAAAACTCACCATTGTTTGAAAGAATTCAAGCTCGGAAAAATTTCCACCCACAGAATAACACATTGGAATACCTCTTCACAGCTGTAGTTTTATAGTCCCGTTATGTTTGGTCCCGAAAAGATATCCTAATTCTCCCTTCCTTTCATTCACCTTCACATATAAAAGGAGTCTATGACCCATACAAAATTCCTGATCTATGAAAAAAGAGTTGACCCATTTCAAAAACATTGTTCGCATTTGGAATAATATGCAAATTACTTTCCATTTGGACTCTCGACTCTGGTGGACAGTTGAACGACAATATTCATCCCAGAAATCACCCGTTCAGCAGCCTTCTACATGCCATAAACAAGGAAAATCAAGAAAATTTAGAAAAATAAAATCTGAAATGTTAAATTTCACTTCTTATCCGCTTGTGAAGTCTAAACTCAAACTTGCATTTGCAATCGCAAAGCTTCCGTTCCACAGTTCCATGAAACTGACACACGCTTTCGACCTAAAACCTGGCTCAAATAACACGAATTTCTTACCTTTATTCTTCTTTGCTTTCTCTAACGAAGAAGATGTTTGTCCTGCTGGGCTCTGTAGCCTTATTCGCTTGCCTGAAGTCGATCGCGATCCTTCGCGAGCGCCGCGTTCTTGCAATTTCCTTTTCGTTGTATGTTGAAGAGGTCGCGCCTTCATTCGAGCCATTTTCTCGAGTCGTTCGTCGCAAATTTCCAGATCAGAAGCCTCAAACGAGTTCTTTTTCAGCAATTCAAAAGCATTTAAAGATGAAAAAGGGTATGCTAGGGAGGAATCGATTCACTTAAGTCCACACCCGCTACCGAAGAGTCTGCCATAAGTTCACACCATTCCGACTTGTTTCATCCTTTTGATCACGTGATGACTCTTCTAAGATTCTCGCGGAAGACTGGGTTATATTTCCGGGTTTCTTCTTGCATTTATCCACAGAGCAAAGCATTTGGATAATGAATTTGTCGTTTCCTGTATAACGAACAATACATTCTCACAAGGAACAGCTACAATTTTAGGACAATTATTTATATTCCATATTTCCTCGATAGAACACCCCGGTTTGCTTCTGTCTCCCCTTGTCACAACATGGTCTTCTGTAAGTTGATACCAATTCCAATTAGCCCATATGTTTTTATCTGATCAAGAGTGAGTCAGTTTAGCTGCCCCAAAAACACGGAGTTTTCCTTAGAAAGTTCTGGTAAACCAACTTATTTGGCTACTATATTTGATGTTCCGTATGATATGAATAATTGTACGTTTCTGAAAAGAGGAAATAAAAAAATGAGTAATGTAACTGAAAAGTTAATTAAAGCCAATCCAAAGGTGTTTGCATAAATTTTCTCGAATTCTCTTAACCTTTCCCCTCTTCCCCTGCCTCCCATCCAAATGGGGCTGCTTTGCTTTTTCTTTCACTGTGGGGCTGCTATGCTTTTTCGTTCACTGTGTAAGAAAAGAATCAGGCAAACCTAACATTCTCCTGTGCTGAATGACTATAGTTGAAGCTCAAAAAGTTATAAAAGGAGGTGGCAATAGAAAAAGGATTTCCTTGTACTCTTACTATTTATGAAAGTGAGGGACGAAGGGGGGGAGGAGACACCTGTTTGATATTATGGCAAAGGGGGTGGGTGCTTATAGGCTGAATTGTATGGGCAGTTTGATTGGTTCTTATGCAATATCTAATTTTCTTACTGCATTTTGATGTCTTCTGTGGTCAAATTCCCGATCAGATGCATGGCAATGACAAAATTATTTGTTAATTTTACAATTACCTGAATTAAACACCCAATTTCCACAATTACATGGAATCTTTTTGTTTCCTTTCACTTCATTTTAATTCTATACCACTACATGTCAGACAAATGTTATCCATGATTAGGTTTATTTTGTTTTCTATTGCCCTTGCTTCAACAGCAGTAAAAAATCAAAAGATAATGATGTAGCACTGTTGGATATGAAAAACGTAAAAAACCCATTGGTAGAAAAAGTGGAAATGTATTCCCTGAACAGATGCCAATGGCAAAGGGAATTTAGTCACAAAATAAAAAGTAGATGAATAACAGCCAATATACACATTGCGGTATAAAAGTGTACAAGTAAAAATATATCTATCAATAAAAAAATATATCTATCAATAAAAAATAGTACATACAAAAGTAATGTTCAGGGTTGATACAGGCTAAGAATGTTTCATTATATCACAATCTAATAAAAGATGGAAAATGTAGTATGTTTTATTTCCGGGACAAGTTGTATCTATTCCCCTCTGTTTTTGTACTGGAAATTATAAATGTCCCCTCAATTTGCATACTTAAATTCCAGACATTATTAAATTACAATACACATACATCGCTTGTTCAACATTGATATCCTCTACATTAAATAAAGGACTTGATCATAAATCTTCAACAGATTAATACTCCTCCAGGTGCTTGGATAACATTTCCATACATTCTGAGAGCTCTTACTTTGTTAAATAAGTCACAACATATTAAGGGGCTAAATTCTTCAAACAAGTTAAAAGTTTTGATAAAAAAATTCGGACAAGACTGAACTTTCAAAAAATTCTCAAGCATTAAAAGTACGTTCTTAAGCCTTTCCTCACAATAATCATATCTCCACAAGAAGGAATGTGTCATCTCACGTAGGTAAAAGCAGATTGTTTTGAAATGGTATGAAGACAAGGGCTTCAGGTAAGGCCCAAATGTTTTCAGTTTCCGTAAAACCTGCCTTAAACAATTTTGATTTCCATCTGCAATACCTCCCAAGTTAAACAGTCTCATCTCAGCAGCTGAAAAGCTGAACTTCCAGCAGAAATCTTTAAAGTGTTCAGGACCGGTAGGTCTCTTTGCAACTAAATGACATCCATCTTGAAAAACTATTAGTTGTAAATGGTTCTGATCTGGCCAAACTGAAACAGATTCAAAACAACAGTAATTGTATTGTGATTCATGCTATAAAGTTTTTGTCTGCTCTACAATGAACCGGCTACAAGTGAGTCAATAAAAGGGGAAGGGGGGAGGAAAACTGGGAGAAGCCCATGACTTGAAAATTAAAGGAGCTCTCTACTGAGTAGTAATCCTTTCCACTTGAAAGAACCTGCTACCCTCGAAGTAGCCAACACAAGCATGGCATAGATTGAGAAATCTGATACCTCGAGGCCTCGTGGTCCATTCCTTAGCAACAACAGGCCACTGAACTCGGATAGCCAAAGTCAAGTCCACAGAAATATGTCTTCCATTTGGAGTAGTTATTTTCAGGGTTACTGCTGGACCATGTACCTCGACAACAACAACATCACCATAATGTCTGGAATTGAATTTTAACACCGGAGTTAATATTGTCTCAAAATATTGTCTTGAATTCACTACATAGCCTCTCCCCAAAATGTCAAATGTTTTGAATTCTTAAAAACTGGTTAATTAGACAATAATTACTCAAAACCCAGGAGAATCAGTTGATTGCACAAGGTGTCATGGTCTGCGTAAGGTTAGTCCTGAAAAGGACTTCTTCTGTGTTTATGATTGGTGTGACATTTCAACAAAATTAAAGTTGAAAACACATTAGAGGGGCAGGGAGGGTCAAATTGGCAAACAAGCCCATTGCAGTTCAAAGTTTAAGTTCTTCTTCTCACTTTATCGAGAGCTCCCTTTCATTAAGGGGGTCCCCTAAATGCATCCCCTTGCTATTCTATACTGCATGATAAAACTTCAATAGAAAATTTCTCTACACTATGCCACCATCACTCCTCAGCATATTTACTTGAAAAAGCATCAGAGAATTAACAGTGTTTGAAATTTATTTCTTCGCTGCCTCAGCAAACAGCAAGGTGATATGCCTGAGTCACATTTGAATTTTTATTCTTCCCAAAGGGCTTTTGGGAATTAATCTTTACCTCTGAAGTACAGCCATTTCAACACAACGAACAAATAGCTTTTTCACTGATGTAGCTTTCAAGAATCCATGTTCATTAACAAAACCTTTGACCGACCTCCACCGAACTTCGTCAGGCCCACAAAGCTTGATCATGGTAAACACTACTGATAATACAAAACATTTGTAAGAAACAGGTAATTCCATTCGGAGGGTTATGCAGATGGGGTTATTGCGTGATATTGCTTTACAAGATGTACATACGCCAATAAAATTGCACTGAAAAATTAACAGCTGAGTTGTAATGTTTATGTTTCCCTCGGAAGTGTAATACTCATTGATGATAGCCAAACAAACATACGATACAATACAAGAACTAGACTTCCACAAATAACACGTATGTTTCAATCAATATTTATCCACAAACTAGTACCTGTACATCAGTACATGTGTTGATTTGCTAGAGCAAACAACATATGTAAATATAAATTGATTATAGAGAAGAGTGTTGAACTCAGTTATGTGTGTATGTATATATATGTATGTATATATAAGTATATATATATATATATATATATATGTATATATATGTATGTATATAATATTTATGTATATATATTGATCCTAACCTGAGAATGGAATAGGAAACAGTTGAAAATATCTGATTGGTAAAATCAGCATCAAATCAATGTCTGCTGACGCATCTACTTGAGTTCCTTCGAAAGAACTCCCACATGGGATGATAAAAAAGGATCCAAAATACCGCTCAACGTAATCAATAATGTTTCTGACGATCGGTGGACATCTGTCGAAGGCCCGCAGAACGTCGGGCGGCCTATTCATACTAAAACGTTCCTACACAGAGCAAGAATACATGTCAAGTTGCTGTACAAAGAACGCTTTAGAACATTATATGATCTTTCGTTTTCTTAAAATGTAGCCTTATTTCGTTTTGATTGCGTGCCCCACGAGAGGACGGATATGGCTTTTACTGCAAGTATCATCTCCCGCAACGTTATTTCCTCGGGTGTGTTGGGGATGTGTGAAAGCATGTCACACTGTAGGAGATCAACTTATCATCGCTTGTTATTGGGGTCCTGGTTAGTGTTGTAATGCGACTCCATAACCTTTCAAACTAT